TAGATAGATAGGTAGATAGATAGATAGATAGATAGATAGATACCCTTATTTTGATAGGGTGAAGAGATACGAATTCCTCAAGTCATTTGAGGGTGGTAGTCCGCCCCTGATTAGTGCCTCGTCTAGAAACAATGAATAGAAATCTAGTGCATGTCTTATTATGCAACGATATTTTTAACTACTTTGGGTTACAACTGCTACCAAAATAAAATACCCCGTCTTACTCCTTCTAAACTCATGGGAAGTGTACAGAGCTCTCTATAGATGCATCAGCATGGTATAAAGACCTAAGACGATAAGGCGGTAACTTTACCCGATGTCTTGATGTACTGCCTGGGTCACCAATCAAAGGAAAAGCTAGCGCCAACTCAGTTATCCCTACGTCTACTTTCCTCTGAAAATTACAACGAAAAACAAAAAAAAAGCAAGACAGTTTGATTTGGTAATCACCTGTCAGAGAAAACGATGGAAATTAATTGAAATTCTCCGAGAAAACAGCAACGCTACAGAAGTAGAGAAATCAATTTTAAAGCGACGACAAAGACAAAACGAAAACAACTTAAGCAATTAACTAAACCCCACTCGAAATAATTGAAGTATTATGGTATGTGGCCCTTCTGGTATCACTAGTTGGAGGAAAGGAGAAAGAATAACCAAGCAACCTGCAAAGACAAGGTTTCATCCTTTTCTCCACTCTCCTCTTCGAACTAATGTCAATGATACCTCCGACCCGACCCGACCCGACCCGTTCTCGCTAACAAAGACATGCAACAAAGTCTGCTAAACACAAGTTTCTTACTTTAGTAGCCTCAAGCTGTTTCTTGACAACAAGCCAACGCTCCGTGCCTTTGTTGTGGAGAACCTCCATGACATTATCTCCTAAGTCTCGTCTTATCATTTTGAGGAGACTCTTGTTTACCTGAGGAAATTCGATTAGCAAGCTTACGTTAGCTTCTGGAACATCATATCTTTTATTTAAAGTAACATACCGGGAAATCCAAACGCTTAATCGTCCAGGAATAGATTTCTGGGTCGAAATAACAAAGTGATCGGATTGAAACAGAAGTGAGGGAGCGACTGAAGTACTACACTTGTTTGGAACAAAAAACAAAACTGAATGGTCGTAATATTGAGGATGTTGCTTTGGAGGGGGGGGGGGGACGTCGTATGGCGAAAACTTTAAATGTTTTTAAAATGTCCCATAAGAATCAACTTATAATACACAGAGGAAAGGAATCGTATGTGTCCTCAATAAGGCATTTTCTTAAAGGAAAATAACGAAAACTTAAAGTTGACTATATGAGCGACGACGTCCCTAGCATGTGACACCTAAACCAAACAGGAATGACCCAAGAATGAAAGGCAAATACCGTTAACAGAAACATTTTCTCTAGCGTTCTTCCTACTTAAACAAATCCAAAACGGTTCTTGCACTGGTTTCAGCGTTTTCTTTGTAGTCTTAAGTGGGCTGTTGCCTTACAATGTCGTTTTCGTCTGGGTATTTTAATTTGTTACTTCAGACTGTACGACCCACCTCGTCGTATATAAAGATTCCCTTCAAACGATGCAAGAACAGCAGTAAAGATGGGTGAACATCGTGTAATCCGGCAGTGAGTGAAGACTTCTCGTTCCCTTTATGTTCATCTTTTAATGGCAGAACGATACAGGTTGGCCAGCTACCCAAAAAATTAAATAAATAAATAAACGTGCCTGACAACTGAGAGAAAACAAGTCACGATCGCCGAATAAACAGGCATCAATGCTCCAATTTATGGTCTGGTGCTATCCACTGGCTTGTTTGGCAAGAAAAATAGGCTCACAATTTCTCTTAATTAACAACTTTATGAGGAAGTCAAACAAATTTATCTCCTAGCACACGGCTTCACCTGTTCATGTTTCCACCAATGTTGCTCTCTTCACCATCTTTACCCATCTTTTCCATGACTTTCATTCCTTCTTTGACATGTACATCATTTGGTTCCTCTGAACAACTGTCCCCAATCCATTCAGGGACGATATAACCAGTAGGACCGCTTTTGGCGTCAAAGCGAATATGATATCCATTAGAGTGGATTTCGGGGCTATCACTAACCCGGAATACCGACTTGAACCCGATGCCTTTTTTTCCTGAAACAGAGCCATATCCAGATCATATTGGAGTACTAGTGCAATAAGAGAAAAGCGCAAAGCAAGCGATCACCGGATATGGGTCGCTTTAAGGTTTCTTGCCCAAATGGGAAAGGTAGAAAGATATTTACAATAGCAAATACGTAAATGCTGTACTAACCGATATATCCATAGCGATGCGCCCCTTTGGTACTTCTGCCCACATCACATAACGCGCGAATATTTTTCTCGATAAACCCAACCTCGTTGTTCAGTACCACTATCTTATCGCGCTCGAGGACAAATACAATGGACGGGAATCCTGGTCCACAGCACACTTCAGGATAGGAATTATCGTCTGCATTCTGAACGAGCTCCAACACAAAGTGGGTGTCCCTAGCATAAAGTTCTGAGGAAAGACGGTGTAAGCCACGACCTTCTCTCTCGCGTTGTCGCTGGACAAGTTTGGCCTCTTCTTTTCCGAGTTCCAGACCGATTCCAAAATCCTCGCGGCGAATTTGTTCAATTATCGCTCTGCATTCCCTGATACGTGCACAAGGTGTAGAAGGTGATATTGACAATCCATCCTTGGTGTCTGAAATTGCTGCTGGGATTATCGAGAACTGACTACAATCACGATCAGGTATAACGGTTTTTTAAAAAACTTATCCCAAAAAATTAAAAGTGACTCATATGTAATTTCGATAATGAGGAGATAACTTCGGAAGTAATCGTATGACATACCTTATAGACTGTAGAGGGGGAATGGGGAGAAAAGATAGGAAGTGAAAACAATGGAAGTCACAGGAGACCGGGAGAGGCAGCATGAAAAGCTGGTGGTAGAGTTGGGAAGGGAAGGAAGGAAGGAAATATAACCAACTAAAAGTAGACAATGATAAATACCTTCGTTCCCATCCTTTTCATCAAAACTGCGTGCTCGTGAGAAGATTGGTTCAAGTTCAGCAGAGGTCTAAAAAATCAACAAAAAAAAAGTAGGGTAATTTCGATTAATTTTTATATTTATTTATTTGATTATTTGTTTATAGATTAGTAATATTCATGCAGGCTGGCCCAGTTCAGCTTCCAGTTGGTATGAATGGGGGTCTGCTTGGGACGTAAAAAATATAACAAAATGTATTTAGAAATATGAAATACAAAAGGAGCCCACAACACAAATGACAATCTACACACAAGATATACAATGTACGTTACATTACAAAGTATATTAAATCAAATAAATAAAGTTTGAGAAGTTTCTTAAAATTAAGTAGTGAAATTATGTTTCGTAGTTTATTAGTTAGAGTATTCCATGCCTTTGGAACTTTGTAGCGAAAAGAACTTTGATATTTAGATTTTTTAGTAATATCAACTAAGTTGAAATTGTAAAGTGGCCACCGTAAAGAGTTAAAAAGCTGACGTTTCGAGCGTTAGCTCTTCGTCAGAGCGAAACGTCGGCTCAACTCTTTACGGTGGCTAATTTACAATTTCAACTTAGTTGATATTACCAAATTACCTTGTTACCCCCACCGATGCAGCGCCACAGTTTCTTTAGAAACTTACCCCCTCTATTCATTTAGATTTTTAGCCAAGGGCAATCGTATAAGATCTTTATGTCTGGTATGGTAGGCATGGTATTGGCGGGAAAAACTAAATTCGTTCAAAAGGTAGGCGGCCGCGAGACCGTGTGGGCATTTAAACAGTTGTAGGCAAATGGCAAGTGTGATGTTTCCTGCGATTTTCTAAAGTGGGACAGCTACGAGTACTGCCTGTATTTTCTACTTTACTCCCTTCAGTGATACGAGCTGCTTGCAGTTGCAACTTTCCCAGGTAGTCCCGATTTGTTTTTCCGCTGCCATCCCAAACTACACAGGAGTAGTCGAGTGTGATACACGCCTTTCGAGGAATGACTTAGCACGCTTTCCGCAGCATGCCCAACCTAGCAGGTCATTCGGAGAAAATAAGGTGGATGTGATCACTCCACGATAGGCCTAGATCGAGCATGGCTCTACCATATTTAAACTGGTAGACCCTGCTTTAGTTCTTGTCAAACGCTGAAACACTAAAACTAGCAACTTTCGAGAGCCTTTGATGTGTTCTCCACAAGCATTACTTTTTGGAGTAGATCAGCAGACAAGTAAGACTCGATTTCTTCGATGGAACTACCACAAAAGAAAAGCAGTGTCATCCACATAAAGTTGATGATGATGATGGTTTATTAAAATACACATGGTGGCATAAAGACTGAATTACAATGTGCTTACGTAAGTTACAACAAGATATAAAATTACATTTGTTTCAAAGGGACTGGGATTACAGGCTATTTATAAATTATTTACAATTCAGATGTACATAAAATACTATAATAGAGATAACTAAACTCATAAGATTAGTAAATTTTCGCCTTTGTTGGGTAAAAACTAGAACCAAAACGTTTTGTTCTATACTTAAAACGGCTGGAACTGCTACTGTTCCCAAGATGGAAAGAGTGACACTCGGATCGCACGGGAGAGAGGAGACGTTGAAACTGGCAGGCCGGATTATTTTGATATTGTGCCACACTTTGTGCCACACTTTGAGACACAGGTGGGCGCGTCTATCCTCTAAACTGGTAATGTTGGCTTGCACAAGAGCCTGTTGATAGTGGAGGTCAGGATATACGATTCGAAGAGCCCTCTTCTGGACAGCCTCTAGCTGTGTCAATGAGGAAGCGAGGAAGGCAGGTAGCCCAGACAACAGAAGAGTATTCCAGAAAAGAGCGAACCAGAGCGCTATAGATGGTGACAAGATCCACTGGAGGGATCCCAGTGCGCTTCAAGACCCTGAGAATGTGCAGTCGCTTGGACGCCTTGGAAACGATGTCGTTGGTGTTATCGTTCCACTTCAAGGCGTCACTCAGGGTCAGACCAAGTACTTTGTTGGATGACACAGCCTCTAGATGTAAATTATTGATGGAAAGCATTGGGGGGTCAGGCTTGGTTTTGAGTGGACAAATGGTCATGATCTTACATTTTTTAGTTGAGTTTCACAGTGATGGAAAACGGATGGGAGGTCATTAGTAGACATAATAGAAAGTAATGGACTGAGTATTGAGCCCTGTGGGACACCAAACTGTATCAACTGGGGTTTAAAAAGAAAACCATTCACTCAAATGGTTCGAGCCCAGTTTAACAGATAAGTTTTGAACACTACGACCGCAGAATTAGAAAAATCGTGGGAAAACAACTTATGCGGCATATTGTCATGATCTTTCGTGTCAAATGCTTTAGATAGATCTGAAAAGACCATTCTTGTGAACCGGCCTTTTTCCATGTTATGGAGAACCTTGTAGGTGACATCAATGAGACATGTATTGGTTGAGTGCATAAGGTGGTGGCCGGATTGATAGGGAGTCAGGAGCCGGTTTTCTAGAAGGTAAAAGTAGACCATCGTGTGTGCAGCACGTTCAAGAATCTTGGTAAAAGCAGGCAGAGTGATTATGGGTCTGAAGCTTGCAGAAAAAGATAGAGCACCAGTTCCTATGAAACAGTGCCTCTGTATAATATGATACATCTCTGGGCACAAATTAATAAAAGGTAAACACCATAGCGTACACTATTGAGTTATGGATGCACGCGGGAGGTCGCTAAGCACGAAAGAAGCGTAAGAGTCGCGTAAGGCGATAGCTGAGAGCGACTGTAGCTTCTTGAGTGCTTAGCAAACCTCCCAAGTGCATCCATAACTCAATAGTGTACACCGTGGGTTTTACCATTTGTTTAATAACATAGTATTGATATATTGTGGCAAATGAATTTTCTTTCACTTAACAAATCTTACGTGACCAGAAAAAACAAGCGCAAGTGCAAAACTAGTCTTTGCATTTGCTCACGTCAGCAGCGTACACCCATGGGCAAATGGTGGACGCTGAATTGACCAATCACAGCGCGCGTTTTACTTTGGTTATGTTATAAATGTGTTTAGGGCTATAATGTTGAATACTTAATGGATATTTAACGTAAAACATAGTGGTAGTGCACACACCTCTGCTTGTTGCGACACCATTGAGTTAGAAGATGCCACGGGCGTAACAGCGGCAATCGTTCCCCTGCTTTCGTCATTGCAGTGCTCACTAGAGAGGAAACCCTCAATGTTCCCTTTGTCGGGCGAAACTCTATTCTGGAAGTCCTCTATCCACTGACTTATGCCACAGGCAATTCCCAGCTTGTGAAGACGGTTACGTTGCGACTGAGTAGAACAGCTTGAAAGCAGCACTGACGCCGCTCTTGCTGAGCCAACCAACTTTTTAAAAGGCTCAAGGAAAACCTGAGAAATGCAAGTGCATAAAGAGTTACCCAAAAAATATCGAGGAAACGATAAAATAAGCCCAAGCATGAAATGCGTCCAAGTTGTCTCAAATTGCCAATCTAATAAGCAGTCGTGCTATGAACGAGCGTATCAAGATTAACAAAAGGAGTTAATAACTTTAGGAGCTTTAGCTTCACTTGAAGTATAAAATATGTACTTGCATGCTTTCCTGAGGCCCGTTACCTGAAAGATCCCGTAACAAGGTCTCAAACCAAATTTAAAAAAAATGTAAAGCTAAGGAACAGTATTGGTGGTCTAAGCTAATGTTTTAATTCCTAAACTATTGATGTCTTGGTCTCGAATTGAAACACAACAAACAAACAAAACAAAACAAAACAAAAACAGGAGGAAACAAACGAAGACCTTATATGTGTGCGCTAAGCTTTCACGGAATGCAGGAGTAATCTCTAAGTTGAGGCATTATCTCCCTCTCAAACAACTTACGCAGACCTATTATAATCTTATCTATCCTTACATTTTGTACGCTATTACTGCCTGGGGCAGGACCAGCAAGACAAATTTACATAAAATACAAACAAAGCAAAATCATGTTATTAGGTTAATGTTCCTTGCAATTCTATCTGGGAAAAATACCGATACTGCACTGCCTCTACCTAATATCTTGGAAATGTTACCGGTAGCTAACATATATCGCTTGTATGTTCTCAAATTTATTCATGCATGGCACAAAGGTACTCTCCCAGAACTCTTTAACCATTTTTGCCAGTATGCTAGTAACGTACATAATTATAACACCAGGTATGCGGCGAAACAAAATCTTCGCAAATTTCGAGTAAAAACAAATACTGGCAAACAAATGATATCATGTATGGCCATTGATCTTTGGCATGAACTGCCTTACAAGTTTGAAGACCTAAATCAATTTGCTTTCTCCAAAAGTGTTAATCAGCGATATCGAACCTAASTTTCCACAAATCAAAAGTGCTAAAACCATCTATCATTCAAGTTACCTCAAACGTAGTCTTCCACAATTCTTCTAGCTTTTAATTTAGTAATCTGTCCCTCTACTCCCAGTTTCTTTTAGGTGAATCCAAAAGAGATGAAGGCTAACTCGATAACGTCGCGGTTTTCTTAGTCTCCATGCACGAACTATATAACACTGTTACCTTTAATTTTTTACATATGCATCCTTTCCTGTTTTTTTTTTATGTTAATATTGTAACTTAAACTTGAGTGCTGAATAAAGTAAAGTTGAAGTTGAAACGCACGAACAGCAAATGAACATCAAACATTATATTTTCGAGATAGGTGACGATCAAGACTTTCAGAAAGGGCCCCAGGACCGTAAAAGCTATTGTTTCCTTCTTCTAATGACCCGGATTTTTGATAAAAAAAAATTAACAATTGAAATAATGATAATAAAAACAGCAACAAACAGCCGTTTTTAATACCCACTCGAATAACTTTGATATGCCCGAGAAAAGAAGGGAATGAGGGAAGGAAGGGCACGAGGAATGAGAAAGTGTGCGCTGTTGTGGTGTCAGTGTCTCGAGCGTTTGGCCAGTGTGCAACAAACCTTCGTCCCAATTACCCGTGCCAATCTGAGAGGCATACGATTCAGACATTCAAGAACAAAGGTAGGACGTTGATCACAGTCCCCCTCATCGTCAGCACCCATCGAGGCTAAAGAAAAATGTACGTAATTGGCTAAAAGAGCGACAGGAGTGTTAGCCACACCACCATTCACTATCACTATGGAAACCAAATGACCAGCCGCTCCAATCACATCTCCACGAAATACACATTCCCTGAATGTTTCCGCGGACGTGTGGGTGGTTACTCTTAGGAGTACACCAGGATTAGTTTCCATAACGACTACGGAACTGTGGCCCTCTGATAATGACTTTCCAGCGCCCCACAAAATTCCTTCATTCTCCAAAAATGACTTCAAGTCGCCAAGTTCAGAGACTTCGCCGCCAAATACATCATCCCAGTGAGTCCAGAGAGAAACATCGTCGAGGAGCGGAGTGCTTTGTATGGCCTCCAAAGCTTCCTGTTTACTCTTATAACCTAGAGCACAGCCACTATTAAACCTGGTGCTATCTTCATCGAACGCGCCGCAGCCGTGACGCAGGAGAGCGGCTTCGTAAACTGTCGTAATAGTTTTCACTCTTCGCTCCACAGCTTTTTCCAGTAAGCACGAACAAGATCCAAATCCAAGATCCGTCACTTTGTTAACATCGTAGTAACTGCACAATTCACGTTCAATAGATTCCTAAAAATAAAAAAAAAAACCTTTTCACTGGGTTATCTGCAATGAAACAGTAAATGCCCAAGTGAAGAGTTAAGTTATGTAGCGATCGCAGTGAGTTTCTGCTTTCGTATTTGAGTCTAAGAATGTTGAACTTACATCATGATTCTTACAAGTTGCTAATCTGCTTCATTCTTGGCTAGCCATGGTCCTTGCTCTTCTCTACGTCACGGTTGTAAATTCTATCTCACTTAACTACCATTCTTTTGTTTCCTTTAAGTGGAAGGTAAATCTATTCTTTGGAAAAGAATGACAACATACCAAGACTAACTGAGGCTAACTATTTTTCCAGAGTTAAATTCACTCCACAGGCATTGCCACTGTGGTGCATCCACGCTGAAAGCAGCGGTTTTACGCGTGGCACTTCATTCATGTACCTTATTAGTATTATCAGGAGGCAAAACTTACTATAGAGGTTTGAGTCCCACACTGAGATATAAAATCCAAGACACTATTAAGCGACACTTGATAACCAAGCCTGGCTCCTTTTCTTCCAGACTGGGGCATCCCGCCAACCTCTTCTGTGGCTTCCATTAGTTCCTTGTGTTTTGTTAAAAACTTCAGAAAAGAGCCATAACCAAATTCTTCAAAACCGGTAAATCCTGGGAATTTGTTCACGACATTCGCCTCAATTCTTGCCAGCGTCGTTGGGTCAGCGTGTTCGGCACACTTTATCCACTCCTTGACTTCACGGAGAACAGCACCTATTTCACAAACATATAAAGACAAAAACGATCAAAAAACGAAAGAAAATTATTATCTTGGTGCATAACGCCGCTTAGTACATTTCTTCATTAAGGACTTCTACTTTCCGCAACACTGGCGAAAGAAAATTGTATCCCGTTAAAAACAAAACAAAACAAACAAAACAAGGAACTGAAGCACAATTCCAGTGACGCAACTTTTACAGCCCATCCTTTCATGGAAATATCCATATTTGTTTTAAGCGAAGGAAGTCTCGCGTGGTTAGACAGAGACAGAACACAAAACTGAACGTGAGAACGGTTGAGATTTGATGCAATTGACATGGTTTTAAAGCGATAAATCTGAAAAGCGAAGTAGCAAAATTTTTCCACATGTAAAACAATTCGCTTCTATAGTTTATTGAAGGTTGTTAGATCGTCAAAGATGATTTCTTTTTTTTTAACGAAATACTCCACAATAAAATTTGTAGAGCACAATTGTTTTCCACTAAAATGGCGCTGTACAACATCTATAATCAATTCTTAAATATCATTATAACTATGTCATCATTTTGAATCAGCACAATGATAACAATGTAATAATGATAATAATAATCTTAAGTAATAATAATAATAATATAATAATAATAATAATAATATAATAATGATAATAATGATAATAATGTTAAACAGCGAAACAAAATAAACAAATAAAGAAATTAAAGGGAGAAAAAAAGATATTTAACCTTCACTGGGTGGGACAGGTCTTATCCTTGTTTCCTCGTGATTTGCTTTACGACTGGCAACTTCCGTGTTAATTCTATTGTTAACCAGTGCTTCCACAGCCTCTCCCAGTAAAGGCTTACAACTAACACACAGTGCCAGCTGAAATAATCGCCTCCCAAGTGCATGCTTGGTAAGCATAGTCAGAAAGGTCATCACCTTTCCCTGACGATTTTCGTCAAACATTTCCAAGCAACACTCGAATACCGCCTTCAGTATATCTGTCGGAGATTTGTCAAGAAATTTCATTACACAACTCCTTAAATCACCAAGTTCTTGCCCGAGAAGATCTTTCTTGATTTTACGCAAGTGTCTCTGTATTTCTTCCTCCATCTCGATTGAAATTTCTTCTCTTATAACTCCCAACCTCTTAGTCTTGAGCTGTTTCGCCTTTTTAATCACCTAACCAAATGAACAAAGAAAACTCAACTATACTTACAGATAAGAACCAACTTATAACATTTCAGCTACCCACTCATGATAGTTTACCGAATACGTTCATGTGTTCACGGTTTCGAAAAGTGCTTTTATGAATAACATTACCGCAACAGCCAGTCCAAGACTTTGTATCCTGACCCCAAGCTCGTAAGGAGTGTTACACTTGTACTGCTCACAAAGATACTCCAGGAATTTCTCTAAATGCAGCGGTCCTGTCGTCTTTGACATGTACTTGTTCAAGTACTTTATAATCTGAACTGTCGTCACTTGAGGTATAGCAGTAAGATTCTGGGGAGCTTTAAACATGTGATACACCACGGGTTGTTTCAGTAGAGGGCCTAATCGGAGTTGTTCGAAGTCTGATTTGGATCCCAAGTCAGCAAGGCTTTGGTTTAATTCGTACAAGGTTGTTATACTGTTAAACGTGACGTAAGCATGGACGAATAAGTTGACCTGTAGAAGACATGAAAACCACGCAGTAAATAATACTTCTAATAAAAATAACAGTAGTAATAACAATAACAAGGATGATGATTATTGTTAACGTTCCTACATAGTAGCTCTACATTCACCTATTAAAATGATACAATAAAAGCAAGTGAGAAGAGGGAAAAAATGAATTAAAAGTACAGTCGAATCTGTATTAAGCTGTCACCCACGACTTAATACAAAAGGCTCGAATTTATATCCTGGCTAGCAGTGGTCACGTTGTCCGGTGGAACCTATTTTTTTCCTCGGACACAACCCATTTTTTACAAGACCCAACCTCGTTCCCAGGGCCTTTTCCTGCTTAACCCCAACTACGGGAAAAGACCTAGGGAACAAGGTTGCACAAGATCCGACCCAAACCTCCCTCACTTTTTCACGGCTACGCAATTATCGAACTTCGTTTTACTACCTCGGTTATTACATTTACATGAACTCACTTTTGCCTGCATTTCGATCAAGTTCTTTAGAGCGGGGATGTCCTTGTCTGATTTGAACCCCAAATCAGAAAGACTTGACTTTTCAAAATCTCTACAGAGCCTGGCTTTTACTTCTTCAAGGCCAACAAAGCGATCTTCTTCCGACAAAGAGGTGATTATTTCTTCCGCGCCCTTGTTAACTTTATGTGAAGAAACAGTCCCTACGGCTGATTTTTCGCTGCTCGTTATGGTATTCATCACATTATGGGCATTGCAAATTGAGTTCTCAAAAGGACCCGGTGTACCAACTTCTCGAATTCGCGCTTTTTCAGAAGGAAGCAGAACCGATTTAACCTCTACGTCTGTTGGCAATTTCACTTCGAGTTCTTTGCCTGGGGAAAAAATTATCCAGATTAGCAAAATATCCTTTGTATCAGCTAAATGCCCTTGCCAACGTTCTTAATCAAAAGGCATTACAAGCTTGTTAATATTTTAATTGGTTAATATTGAAGGTTTCTTCAGTGGATAAACTAGTACGCTGACATGTGTACTTTCTTACCGGGTCAAGTCAACGTTTGAGCATTCCTTTACTTTGGCCTAAGAAGTCGTCAAAATTCGCGCAGTTCACCTCAGATTGGTCTAACCGCGCACCATAAACGCTGCTTGTTTTTCTTTACTCACCCTCTGAAATATCGTGTTCTAATTGGCTGAAGTTCTTGTTATCAGGTGAGAGGTAACTAGCGAACACATGCCTGCATTACAACGATTTGGATCAGTCTTGTGTCAAAAGTAATCCGGGAGTTTAACAGCTTTGCTCACTACGCTTCGACTTTGGTTCCACAAAAACTAAGGTCACTTAGATGTAAGTTACCGTGCGCACTTTCCCATCTCGAAGCCTGGCTTCCAGGCATTTGCTTCAAATTTGCATCGGCTCTTTTTGATATTTTCCTTTGTACTGAATGGCAGCAGTGATTAACTTGTGTAAGTTTCACGAACTCATTTGAGACGCTGTACAAAAGAATTTCACTTTTTAATCTTCTAACATGCTTACCTGCCGAGGTGGGAGGGAGAGTCATCGCATTAGTAACACCGGCAGCAACAGCTGATTTCTCTCCTTCAGTTGGCGACTCCGACAACTGCAGTGATAATAACTCGTTCTGTTGCAATCTGGTGTCACCATGAGAATCTAGCGGTCGTGTTTGACCCAAATCTATACTTGAAGCCTGGTTGTGTAAACTTGTTACTTTAAGTTTCATAATAAAAAGTCCATATGACGGTTCCTCCACAAGAATAATATCATCTAGCTGATACATCAAAGCCTTCAGCTTTTTTCCGTGTGGCCCCTTAAATCTCCTTCCAAATCTTTCCTTGTACTTGCGACCAAATTGAGCAATGTTAAGCCAATGGCCTTCACAAGAACTTAGAATTTCGACAATCTCTTTCTTTAGGCCAGCCAAAGGATCATAGTGAAAATCAGATGGAAGATCTCGTTGGCCAGCCTGGTTCACTCCAGGAAGAGGAGATGGTGGCTCTACCTTTCCGTCTATGCTGCATGCTTCGGTATTTAGTTGCGGCGATGATGATGACCTATCGCTGAGTTGCGATGGAGATGGGACAAGTAGCACACGTCCAGCATCTGGACTTAAGACAGCGGCTGAGTTTTTTCCCCCAGTGAGTGATTCATATGACTCTGTTGGAACTTTGGAATCAAATTCTTCCAGTTGATGGCCAGCTTCATAACCGCGAGGACTAAGCTCTTCTGTGGTTCTTAGACTCATTCTCATCACGAACTGGCTTGCATGTGGTTCTTTCAGCTTCATTATCCACTTTGTTCGACCTTTGGTAGCCAATTTCAATTGTTCAAGGTCAATGATGTCTAACCCTGGCATTAGAGCCCGAAGGACTTTTTTGTGTTTTGCCCATGGATAGCACTTATCGAATGTCTTCCCAAACCGATTCCGGTATGTCGTCTTAAATTTGTCGAGATACAAGCAATTTCCCTCACAAGAACGCAAAATTTCGATAATATCTCGTTTCAGTTTTGTTAAGTCCTCATCAGCATCTAGACAAATGCCTTGGATTTGTGGACACTTTTGATCCAACGGAGGGTGAAAGACTGGTATCCCTTGAGGAGGACCTCCAGTAGGGAGTGGTTGTTTGCCTTGTACTTCCTGTTCCATTATCTCAATGTTGGAAAGTACAGCCTTTGCAGGAGTTTTATTGGCTGTTGTTGTTGGATCAAACCCTTGAAAATTAGTACAACTAAAGCGAATCACATGATTATTACATAAAGCATTTCACTCACGGTTGCAGAAACTGTTGTTTGTAAACATGATACAATTGTTCTGAGTGAGGATTTTATTTCTCTAATCCCCTCGGGGGGGGGGAAGGGGTGCTTGGGTCAATGTTTTTGCTTGGTATCTGCCACTGGCCTCTCAGAGCTCCTACTCTTGAACCCACTATAGTCTTTGGCAATATGGTAACAAAGACTATATGGCCATACGGTAACAAAAACTAAGTATATGGCCATACAGTAACAATTTTTTAACCCCCATTTTCCCCAATTTTAAATCCCTATTTCCCAAATTTTCTTAGCCCAAAATCCTGAAAATCTACAACCCCATTCTAGTTACTCTGTTGAAAATGCAACTTCATTATATTCAATGCAATCACAAAAATGCAACTCACACCCTCTACAAATAAAAACATTTTACCCAGCCTCTAATTCTGCAATAGAAACATGCCCCTAGTAACCCCCTCATCTACATGTGCTTGGTACTTAGAACTAATATCATCACTAATAGCCTACAGGTACCTATATTTGTAGCCACACTAACACTTGATGAGGAAGGTGGTAACATATGCAAAGGTGAAGTAGCCAAGGCAGTAGTTGTAGGACCTAGTGGTGACAGTGATTTTTCTCTCACATCCACTGTGATTTCATCTAACAGATCTGAAGCAGGTGCTACAAAATGGGAACAACCAAAATCTGGACTTGAAACAACTGCTGCCTTCTTTCCTTCAGTGAGTGGCCTGTGGGATTCAGGTAATACATAGGAATCTGGTTCTTTTGGCTGACATCTCTCCTCAGCATTGTAAGTAAGCTCTCCACCCACGTTCAAACCTGTGCTCAAATTGACCTGACTTGTATGAGGTTCTTTAACCTTCATAAGGTATTTCTTGGCATCTTCTTCGCCTGTTTCTTCCAAGTCAACGATGTCTAATTCTGCAATGAAATATGCACGACTGTTTCTTTCCAGTAGCATTGATAGCATTTGTAAAATCCTCTCCCCAGACTTTGCCAGTGGGTATTGTGAAGCTCAGAGAAATACATGTACATGTAATTCGCCTCAAGCATTTCAATAATATTGTCTAATTTCACTAACATGTCTTCATCATGGTAATCACCATCAGGGGTTGCACCGTTGAAGGAAATTCAAAACTCTTTTAATAAACTGATCTACACTGAGTGTATACATATGTCATCTTTCTGATCCAATTCATCTAATCAAGCACTGCAACTGTTGTTTGTAGTTAGTCTTCTCATACATGTACCTGTTAACTGCATGTCTGCAATGCATGGGGCTGTGTAAATTAAATAGTAATATCAGATGTGCTTTCAGAAGTTGCAGAAATTGTTCAAATCACTTCTAAAAACACAGTCAAGTGATATTAATCCTTAATACTTGTTTACAACATAAATAGAACATTTTTTCTTTTATCAAAAAGGCAAAAGCAGGTGCTGTCGCAAAATTTTTCAAGAAGCTTTTTCAGTGTTCACTAATAGCATCAACGAAGTATAAAACACACTGGTCATTCAACTGCATAAAATTATATTTTTTGTAACACATTCCCAAAGCAATGAGACTTGCCCTTCTAAAAAACATTTGCCATCAATAAAATTATTCTCTACTTGGGTACAGTTAAACCTAATTTTTAATGTTTTCAAACACAAGTAATTATTTTTATCCAAGGCAATAATTAAAATTAAGAATATGCTCCCGGTTTCAGCCAATCAGCATAAGTATTTTTGCCCTCCATGCAATAAAGAGAGGATATTACACAGTGATGAGAAGATACCAGTTTCATGTTCAAGTGGCAAGAACAAAAATTATATTGTAATTATTTTGCCCATATATAGTAAATAGAGGATATAATATGGTGAAGATATGAATTTTGTGTTGAAATTTGAAGAATATCTCAGTTATCCCTCACACTCACTCGTGTGATATTATTTGTGCCACAAGAACAAAAACATTCATTTCTTTGTGCTAACGTGTGACTTTTTTTTACTTTATGGACAATATATATTTCATAGTAGAGATTGAAAACCTGGCTTTATACAAGTACTTGGTATGAATTGGAACAAAATACCTGTTGATGCCCAATTGGCCATAACAACTTTTAACCTTGATTTTCCCCAATTGGTTGTGTTAATTGATTCTAGAAGTGTTTAGTTCCCAGTAGAACAATCACATTGATTTAATAAATGTTCATATGCAGATCCTTTTATAAACTTTTTTACAATTATAGTAACTTATTTCAATGCTTTAGTCATCATGCCAGTAGTACTACTAACAATTAATGTTTCATAATACTGAAAATTTCAAAAAAAACAAAATTAAAAAGCTAATCAAATCACTGACAGAAGTATTGCACAGACATTAGTGTTTCAAAAACTATAATTGTCGGCAAATTGCTTCTATTTTAGGTTTTGTTGAGAGGACGTTATGCTGAGTGAGCAAGTGTCTTTGCAATATTTCAAATGAATTTAATTACATATTACAATATAGCTGACATGTCTCCTTACTTCTAAATGACTGCAACATCTGCTGCTCTTAGAGACATTTAGTTACCCATCATAATTATTGTTGTGACAGAGCAATACTAAGTGGTGCCCCATATTTTTCACATACCTTCATGTGTATTGGTTACAGGACTAGGATCTTGCATTAAAGAGGGTGACAACACCAAGGGAGGAGAAGCCTGGAAGGTACTTGTAGGAGCTGGAGATTGAACTACTGGATCCAAAACATTTTTATCCAAAGGAGCTAGTGGAACAGCAAAGACTCTGTCAATACTTGGGCTTGCAGCAACTGCCAAATTCCCTGCTAGAGTGGCTGGTGTGTGTGATTTGGTTGGTACTTTGAAATCAAATTCATCCTGCTGATACTCAAAGGTAGAACTGGAATCAAGCTCTTCTGCTGCATCCAAACTCATTCTCTGCATGGGCAAGCTTGCATGGGGTTCTTTCAGCTTCATTAGAAATTTCTTCTCACCTTTTTCACCAGTATGTTCTAATTCAATGTCATCTAATTCTGATAAGAATTGCGAAAGAGCTTTTCCTTTAAACAGTACTTTGAAGGTACGATGGAATCCTCTTCTAAATGTTTGCCAATACTTATCATGAAGTTCTGAGAGATACAAGCAATTTCCCTTGCAAGATTTAAGCAAATGTACAATATCTTTCTTTAATGTTGTCAACTTCTCTGAGAAATGACCAGAATCAATTTCAGTATTCTGGGACTTTGGCCCTTCTTGATTCTCTGCACCTTCAGGATTTTTTTTCGCAAATGAATTAGGTTTTTCTGCATTGTCAAAACCCATGTTAAGCATAAACTGACTCGCATGTGGCTCTTTCAGCTTCATCAAATAACGCTTGGCACCTTTTTCACCTTCTTCTAGTTCAACGATGTCTAACTCTTGCAGAAATTGTGCGAGACTTTTTCCCCTCAACAGCTCTCTGTGGGAACTAAAAAACCCTTGTCTAAATGTTTTCCCATACTGTTCCTGAAGCTGGGAGAGATACAAGCAGTTTCCCTCACAGGACCTCAACATATCCACGATATCTTTCTTCAGTCTTGTTAACTGATCAATGGCATCAGCACTGGTGTTTTGGCACTGGAACCTTGACCCCATTCTCTCTCTTTTTTTCACAAACCTTGGTCTCAAAGTCTCTCTTCTTCCCACAT